ATTTTTCTTTTTTTTGAAAACGGAAGTTTTTCATCAAAAAGAAATGTGTGAATCTATTATTGGCATTTCTATAGAGTAGAATTATGTTTCGCTGAAATTCGAATAGTTATTATTTTTTCATCCGATTGAATACCAAGTACGTACGGATGTCATTTAATGCTTAAATCAATATTAAGACGCAAGCGAAGAGAATATTTCCTGATTGTCGTACGCTGTTTTTCTTTGGCAATTGGTAAAGTATTCTCGGTTTACGCATCAATGATAAAATAATAATGAAATAACAGAATACCATACGATTATAAATTTCTAGTYTTGCCCGAATTTCTTTCAATTAAGAATAGAGAACTTTCACCTTGGACAGTAAAAAGCGCTTGGGGGAAAATAATTTGTTACAACAATTGTAACAAAAATAGACAAAAAATCTGATAAATATTATCGGCATAGATAGATAGATTTTGCTTTCTCTAAAAACTTACTGAATCCCAAATGTCAAGTATTTATTTTGCTTGATATTTTTTTCTAGTTTCTTGCTTTCATTATCACTTGTTTTGCTTGTTTTTAATCATTCCACTTTTTTGTCGCAAAGAAGGGGCGTAAAAGATTCGAAGATTTTCTGCGGGTTTTTTTTTTCAGTGTTTCTATTCCTACTTCGTACAGATATTTTTCTGTATTATTGGGATCATTTTGTAGTTATCAAAATTAAAAAGGACAGTCTGCAGTGCTCTGTATTGTACATTTGCCTTGATCCATAGCACCGTAGAACAAAAGTCATTAGCTAATCCAAGTTGTTTCAAGATGTTTCAAAGTATTTTAGAACTTACCAGTTTATCGTCGATCTCTTGTTATTTTCTTGCTGCTGTACTGTGGGTATCAAACGTCTTCCCTTGCCTGCTCTAATAGCTTCAATAGTGCAAGCATATGCTGGCAGCTGCTTCTGAAGGCTTTCAAAAATCGCACCCGACTGACAACAGATCAGCCTATCTTTGCCTTAGTTGACACCTTCCCACCAAATCAATCAAATTTCACGATCATTTTAAAGACATAGTTTGCACTGTGACATGACTACTGAAAAGTATCTTATAATCGTTGTTAGATTTTGTTAGTAGTAACACATATGCATGCCATATTAATCTAATTCCACTATTAAAAGAACGTTTTCATGTTTAAGGTTTCTTTGTATGTAGGTGTCGTTAAATAATTAGGTAATGTAATGTAGGTAATCTCTATATATTTAATGTTTTCCAAGCTTTTGGATCTGAGATCTATCATCAGGGAATACGGTGTTACAAGTGAAAAACATCAGTGTAGCCGTATTTTCATTTAACCATAACCTCTGATAATATAAGATTATATATAATTTATTTTTTTCTACTCATAGTATAGTACTATATTACTTTCCTTCTTAGATTGAGTGTGTGGGAAGAAGGAGAGGAAAAGAGACGCGTCCACAGGAATCCCAAAACGCTCGTCTTTACTGAGTCTGGAGGTAGGGTAAAGTGGGATGTTGGCAGTCTCATTTCTCATAAAAAAAATAAAAGTTAAAATATCTGGGTTTTTTTTCCGCCAAGAGATAAGCTGATTGAGGGTCTCATGATGTTGCAATAGTATGGTGTCGCGAAGTCCATTTCCACATTTTCCCTAATAGTCTCAACGCAGAATTGCGGAAACTCCCCAGGGCCACGACAAAAGGAAAGCAATTTCCAAATGAAAAAGTCTGGAACACTTTACTGAAAACATACATGTGCAAGTGTTGGCAAATATTTGACAAAAGGCAAACAGTGTCAAACGGTTTTCAACAAGACATAAGAAATTCGTCATGAGCTCTGCTGAAGCTGTTTCAGTACAGTTTGCACTATGACAACTTTCTTGAGTTCATTTCGTATGATTGCATAACTGCACCTTCACGGAAGAAAAACTGATAACATCTTTTTTAAACCACATGAGAATGAGAATGCTTGTCTCGGTCACGATCACGCCACAGCGCGTCCGTACCGTGAGATTTTCAAAGTCGTACATTTGAAATTTAGTCTTGAGTGATGACGCACGCATTATATTCGTTTTTGCACTAGTTTGTTTATGTTACACAAAGCAATTTATCCCGTGCATCACATACAAATAGTATCATATTTGGAACCTTTTCACACCCAGTTAATGATATTTACTACAAACGCCCTAAAAATTACCCTAAAATGTTGCGGGCTGTTCTCAACCAACAAAATCATGCTATTATTACATCCTGCATTTCTTCATTTCGTATAAAAACATTCATTTTAGCAATTTTTTTGCGCTGTCACTCTAAAAATTAAAACAAAACTGTCAAACAATACAAATACTCTGATCTAGCTTTATTTTTCATAATTTTTATTTCAATTTTTTTCGCGTTGTTAAACTATTGCTTCTAGATTCCGAGATTTCATAATTACCGTTGTAGGGGATATTTTTGTTTTAGCCAAGGACTATGTATTATGGTATTATAACTTTAATTGAAGTGCTCACAGGAAATTGATTCCCTTTCAATTATAAACATGTTACCGAGGAAAAGTCGGTCTTACTGTGTCGCTTTCTTTTACGAATTATCCTTTTAATTAAAACCTGCGAGTAAACTTTTTTATCTAAGCCAAGCGGAAAAACTCGTTTTTTTTATCATTAGGCATGAAAGAAAATTCCAGCGATACCTAGATAACTGACAGGCGAAGTGGTAGCGGTTGAGTGAGAATATTAGCGGCATAAAAGTCGTCTTACATCATTAGGAAAATGTAAAATTGGTAAGCGAAAAAGAAAAAAAAAAAAAAAAAAAAAAAAGAAAAAAGAAAAAATAGAAAACTCATTGATATTTATATTTCGGGCTGAGAAATGAAGGTGTAACTTTGACAGTATAATTTTTGCATGTGAAAATCCACTCAGTGTGCAAAAGCGTTACAACTTGCTTCATGTCATTTTGGTAAATTTTTTATTGTTCTTACTAGAATTATTGTCTATTATATTCTTTTAAATATTTAAAATCAGTAGCTTTTACGAACTAATAAATTCCCAGACGATAGCTAATATAGAATAAAACTCATAGTCTGAGTTTTTCACTGTTGCATAACGAAATTTTCTTGATGATTTTATTGCTTATAAGGTATCTTGAACGATATGGTACTAGTATTGAGATCCAAGGTATCTTGAACGATATGTTACTAGTCTTGAGATCCATTAAACACTTGAATATATCGGATGATACAAAATGTTGTAAGTCATGCAATATATAACATCAGTACCGAAAGGGGATGGGAGGGCAATAAATTAGGCCAGCTGGTATCACGGAGGGAAGCGAATCCCTTAAGTATTTTTAAACATCATCCCCCCCCCCCCCTTGATCCCCTGATACTTTGATCTCTACAGGGTTTTGCTATAGTGACTGCTTCGCCTAACATCCAATATATTTCTAACACTTACGTTTTTACAAGTCGCTTAAAATAAATAGGTAAAGGTAAAATGCCAGTTGATTCCAATTCGTCTCATTGAAAGTCATTATTTATTTTTCAATCGATTCATTTAAAAGAAAACAGGCTCAAATGCTTCCACACTTGTCGACTCATATCTTTTTCTTATGCATTACTGTTCTTTTTAAACTTGGTCTGGCAAATACCCTTGTATTGTTTAGTTATCAATAGTTCTGTCTCTACTCGTGGTTTATTTGCATACACTGAGGAAGTCCCACTTACAGGACGAGATGATTTTTGTGTTGGATCTCTTTCTACTAGCTTGGTTTCAGGTTTTGGTGATGTTGTGCCAGTTTTGCTCCTTCTACTCGCATTTTCGTGTTCGTAGCATTCAGGAAAACCTTCTAGTTTGACACAACAAAGACACTTCCTGGCATCATCTCTGAACTGTGATATCATTAACCCGTAAACGAGTGGATTAGAACAGCTATGAAGATAGGTGAGAATAGGGGAAAACTTGATCAGTATTTGGACTGATGGATCATGTTCTAGTCGGCCAAAGTCTATCAACAGCCAAGCAATCTCGTGCGGCAGCATTAGAAGAGCAAAAAGCACAACGATAACAGCTAGAGTCCTCATAATTTGAATGTTTCTCTGTCTTATTCTCAAAGCTATTATCTGAGCTGTTTTGTTATCATCCGTTGAAGGTGGTTTCTTATGGTTTAACTGTATTCCTATGTGAACATAGGCTATTGCAATGATGCATAGAGGTGCAATGTACTGAAGGACACAAAGTGCAGCAGTGTACGCCAATCGATACCTCCTTTCAGGCCAATCTTCTTGACACGCATCAGGAGCTGATTGAGCGACGACCGAGAGAGGAAGCACACATAAAATTGAAAATATCCAAAGAAGGATGATCCAAAACATAACGATTCTCCCTCTGATCGGTGGCCTGTTGTGGTGCTTCATGATGTAACATCTTCCTACAGCCATCGACGTCAAAGTAAAGATACTTAAAGAAAATCCAAATGTAGTCAATGGATAAATGAGCTTACAGTAAATCTCTGTGAATGGAAACATAGTCATTTCGACGTAAATGTCGGCCGGCAAACACAAGATGAAAAGTAAATCGGCAATTGCGAGATTAAGCAGAAAGTAATCGTGAAACGTTCGCTTCTTGCCTCTTGCATGTACCACAATAATCACGAGGAGGTTGCCAAATGAACCAAAAAGAAAGATTGTGATGTAAAGTACCAGGCGAACTACTTTTGTTGCGGACATCGCTTGGTCTTCTAAAGTGTCATTCCTCATAGTCGATGATGAGACAAGTGCTGATGAAATTCCTTGTTTTTTCCCAGTTCAAAAGCTTAGCTGGTAAAACTGATGTGCTGCAGATGACACAGTTTTCTTGAGCAGAATATTTATCTTGCCTCATACATGGAAATACTGCCACTCAGAGAGATTATTGAAGAGTACTTGAACAGAATGAGCCGAGATAAGTGACAGCTTATGCAGTGAATTGAATACACCAAACAATTTGGTTACTGATTCGTATGTATTCTCCTTGATTACAAATTTCATCTAAATCTCATGTTCTTCGCATCCAATGTAAATAGCAATATTTATGGACATGGACACCAACAGCAAACCTGAAATGAGACAAACATCAAATGTCACCTAAAATCCTGCATTTACAATTGAAATATGACTGTATAAATTGTATAGATAGGCTGGCTTTGCCTGTCAACCAATCACTATTTATCATTACCCTCCTTTTGTTGCCGTGTTTACGCTGTTTCTTGCTCATTTATCTTGGTGATTGACAAATGAGAGTCAACAAATCGTTAACTATAGGCTAATTAGTCAATTGACGCAATGGTTTTCTTCCTTATCGCAAACGAACCAATCCCGTTCCCTAGTACCGACAAATGTCATCAAACAAGGGTCTATAGTTATGACATTTTCCTGTTAGCAACAAATTCTTCCATGTGTACAGAGCCTAGTAGATCTTCGATTGCCCTAGAGATAATCTTACCATATATTCAACCGTTATCGAATAAATTTATTGATGGCCTAAGCGGACCTTTGTGTAATTGATAAAGAAAAAATGCCAAAAAATAAGCTTCAGAAAAAAATCTACGCACTCTTTCATGCTTTATTATTTTCGTGACGATAATTCCCATGAATAATATTTCAGACGACTTATGGAAATTTTGACCAAAAATCTTCGCACCTTGTTATTAGTAAGGACCCAAATTCTTTAATGGTTTTTCACCTCCGACAGAAATGTCAAAATCCACCTGTCAAGCAGCTTGGACAATTAAGTACAGCAACAACTCCGCGGAGAATCTTCAAGCTGCGCTTGGTTTGTGCACTAGGCACAATACCTAGCCAAACTAGGGAAAGGCTTCAGTTTTAGCTATGGTACAACATATATATTAATAGTTGATCACAGTGACTTAGGATTCGCATCTTGTTTTTTCAAAGTCGGTAGATCATAATGATCAAATCAGTAAAACCTCCAAGGAAACATTCCTCATTAATATCTAACGAGCCATCAGTGGTATTAAAAACAATTTGTTTTCACAAATTATACATCAACATTGGCCATAACATATTCAATATATATCCTATTTCCAATATTTGTTTTTATACCATTATATATATCAGAGTGTTAGTATAATGGTATTGGAATGAACTGAAAAAATATGTATAGAAAAAATAAAATAAAAAATAAGAAAAGAAAGAAAGAAAGAAAGAAAGCTTAAAAAAACGCTGAATAAATACAAAGAAATAGTGGCCGTTAATTTGGAATGAAAAATATGAAAAGAAAGAAAGGAAAAAAGAAAGAAAGGAAAAAAGAAAGAAAGAAAACTCATAGAAAAAGGAAGAAAAAATTAAGGAAGGAAGGAGGAAAAATAGAAAAAAGAAAGAGAAAGAAGATAATGTCGCGACATTTGTCTCATTCCCGGCCATTAATTGTGATTCAGTTCTTTACGATTCCGTCTACTGATTAAGCCGCAATTGTTTGATAATTATACTAACACAAACCCACCTTGCAATATTTCTACATGACAAGAGATTTTATGCCCCAAAGAACATGACTCATTTTTCCGACTTTACAACATGGTAAACGTGGGCGAGAGACAAAACGGAAAAAGGGCACGCGTTCAGTGATGTTACAGAAATTACAATCAGGTTTATAATAGCTATCGACTTCGATCAGAAGCAAGCATAGCAAATATGGATCAGCAAGGGTTGAACTACAATTAGCCAGAGAGAAATTGCGTCCATCATATATATTTGTCAACTCGACTACACGAAGTCGTTCTGACATGTCGCTAGACATACAATACGAAATGTTTCAGGTGGCGCATTTTGTAAAAAGGATTTATATATTCGCAAGGCATTTGTTAAAATGGAATACTATCCAATTGAGGGAAAGCATTGGTGGTGCAGCGGATAGAGTTGCTTGTTGGTTCTTCTCGGATCATTCTCCGATTTTCCTCCTTCCGCGCAAAAAAAATCAACTTCTAAATTCGTTAAAGCGCGCATGTTATTATATCTGAAATATGCGCATAACAATTATCAAAGTTTAGTTTTTAGTATTTTGCTGGTTCATCTCAGTAACAGTTTCTTGAGTAGCACACAACGTACATATAGATAGTACTATAGTTTGTGCTCTAGGCTATATGACACAACATCTTATTAAGACGGCAAAAGATTGGGTTAGTATAGGAAATGAAACCAACTATGTACAATATTACGAAAATTATAATAAAGACTTCGTTTTCTAACAGATAAAAAGGCGTACCTCAGATTCAAAACAAGTGTTTGTTCACGGCTTCTTTTTTCTTCGACTTGTGCCGCTTCCTTTGCCTTGTGCTTTACTGTTACCAATATTAAGAATATTTTACCTGATATGTATCTTGTCGGACCAGGGAAGCTCCTATCTGCGACTCAAACTTACGATCTCTTTAAATCAATTTTTTCAAAGTACATTTTCTCAGCAAGCAGTCGGTAATGATGTACAAAAGCTCAATTATCTCAAGTGACATTAACAAAAACATGTTAAAATCCTTCTTCCAACTCCTAGTTCTTCTTTTTACCTAAAGTACCAAAGTGGCAACACAATACCACAGCAGGTCAATCTAAAAAAAGCAGCTAACGAACAGTCATTACACTTGGAGTGATAAACAAATGAAATGCATGCTTATATACCATTCGTTGTCGATCGGTATTATTATAAATACCACTTCGTCATCACTAATAGCTTGACTGGCTGCCGGAGATATTACGCGGACAGATAAAGTTGAAGACTTTGAAAGCTTTAAGTGCATGAATCATAATCATCAGAATAAAAAGACTTGAATCCTTCCATACATGTGGTTAAATATTTGTATGCTTTAATTGTATTGTATGGATCTATTATAGCATTACAAGTCGTCTGAATGTCTGGAGTTAGGTTAAGAAGTTAGTGCATCATTTTCGTCCCTTGCTCTCGATTCTCATCATTAAATATACTTTTAAATTTACGGCTCCCTATACAAACGCCTGTAGCTTAGTAAGCATTTCACACTTGTTCTTCATGCGCGAGATGAACGAGAACAAGCTAAAAACTAATGCTAATTAATGGGAATTAGCAGTCGTACTTCTTAAGAAAAGTAATTCTTCGTCGATTGAAATTTGAAAGTAGATAGTTTTTCGAGAGAGGAAGACAGGAGAACCCGGATAAAAACCCTCGAAGCACAGGAGAGAACTAAATAAATAACTTTATTTTCACGTAAGACACCGAGTCCAGGAATCGAATTCAGGTCGCATATTGGTGATCGCTTTCACCGCTACACCAACAGTTCTTTACACATCTAGTGCACTGCTTCCAACACTGATAACTGTACTTACTTGATCATTGCATGGGCTAACCACTAATGAAAGTACATCTTATTTCTCGTATATTGGTTATTTGGCGCTTTTGTAAAAGTATATTGTACTTTGACAAACATAATCGAGTGCAGAAAAACTCGAAGAGAATATCTTTCTGCCACAAGACAAGACGTATGGTTTATTCCTGCCGTGAAGCCACGCTGACCAGGATTGGGTTGCTCGCGTTAATAGTAGACAAGTCATGTTGTGTGTGTATATTACAAACAGTCAGCCCGGTGCGATGATAAGTGAGATCAGACAGTACCGGGGGAAAGTCTGTTACTTATTGCCGATTATACAGTGAGTTCCATCGTCTTTGAGGATCTTATTTGAACCCACAAGAATGGGTAAGACTGTTGTGATATCCCTGCCTGTATTTCATCCATCTCATCTCATCTCATCCATCCATTCCATCCATCCACCCATCCATCCATCCATCCATCCATCCATC